GGGTGGGGTGGGGAGGTGAAGGTCATCCAGATAAAAGAGGGATCTCCCTATCCTGCCCTAAGGACATCTTATATGGCCTACAAAAATCCAGGCAAACACCAAGAAGAATCAGGAACTCTAGTTGATTTCTGACATCTTCTGACCATCCAGATATTTGCAGCCCAGAACTGGTAGCCTTAACATGCAGACTCTGCTAGCCTACATGTGGTCCATGGATTGCTCCCTTTGCAGTCCTAGATTAAGACATAATATGGTTCATTCATTTGGTTTGGGCTTCGTGGATTGTGTGAATCTCATCACTCTGGCTTATAAACCATGGTTGCAGACCCTAACTGTTAAAGAAATAAGATCACACAAACATGGCTTCATGCGGAATGTGGTTCCAGCTCACATGTAGACTTCAAGAAAGGTGGGACCATCTCCCTATTTTAGAGAAAGGATATAATAAACCATGAACTAATCCAGCCCATGTGGTTACATTAAGTTTAATGTGTGTCATGCCAACCAAGAAAATGGGGTACCTTGGTTAAGTATGATGGTTAACCACGAGTAACTAGGTCATGAGATCCCAATTCTCTTCCTAACATTTTGCTGGAAACTTTAGTTGCCAGGCTCCACACTCTTCAAAAGAAGGTTGTTGGAAGGGGCATTGTTCATGGTAGCTGGAATGATCAGCAGAAGTTGAGTGTAGATGTAGAAGCAGGTCTTGTTTCCTTTGTAAAATGCGCTGCCCAATGCTGCCACTGTATCAAAATACAGCTGATTGGGGAGTGAGAGAGTTTGAGCTACCCTGTAGCCAAAAAAGAGTGAACAGTTACGTTATATAGAACCATTCATTGTAGAGATGGGCAATTTACAGACTGCCTGTAGCCTTTCCTAGCATCCTATGCTGCAAAATTTTGGCTGCAAATTGATTGGGTTTGGGCATGCAATTTTTTTCTCTTTCTCCCCAATAAGGATGGGAATTGACCTCGCCCCCCCCCAACATTGGGGACTGACCCAAGGAGAATTGCCCAGCTCTTCATGTTTGGTTTTTTCTTCAAGTCCCTGCCCAAACAGGCCACATCATTTTCCTTCTTCCATTTTATTCTCACGGTGATCTTGTGAAAGTTAACCTAAGAGACAGCGACAGAGTAAAAAACACCCCAGGGAATTTTGGGGCTGTTGGGCACTGGAAGCAGGGTCTGCCTCCTTTTAGCCCAGTGAGACCTCCTACAAAGCTGATTCCGTTGGGACCTTCCAAAGGATAGGGTACTTTAAAGATTTGTGAGTTACAGCATTATACTGAATAACCCATCCATGCAATTTATAAAATAATATTTGGGCCTAATGGCATAAGAAGCAATCAGATCATCACTTGATATTCAATCTTTGCAATTAGCAGTGACCTAGAAGAAAACTTAAGTGGTTAATAGTCTGAATTTAATACATTCAGCTCAAGGAGAAAAAGAGAGGATAAATTCTTCACAAGAGAAGAAGAGGCAGAGAGAAGTTGTACCTTTCAGTAGGAATTTGTTCTCTTTCTCTTAGGACTTGCTGGTTAAGGGCTGTTTTTAGACTCTTCTTAAGGAATTTAGCAAATTGGAAGAAATCAAAAGAATTCCCACTTCGGGATTTGGAAAATACTATTATTTAATTATTTAGACCTGACTGAAATGTTCCTTTTTTTCCTTCCTGAGCTGGGATTTGGGGGAAAAGGAAGAGATTCTCTAACATATTTTTTTTAATATATAACAAGTCCACATTTCTTTCTTTTTAAAAAATTTTCAACTTTATCACTGTATAAGTTTTGAAAATAAAAATAAAAATACACAACAATACAATCAAACCCTGGGCCAAATTGGGGTGCACTTGATGGAGTGGGGAAGCAAACAAAGTCCCCGGTAGACCGAGGGCTGAAAAAGAGAAGTTCCGGCAAACTCAGGAGCAATTCTGCTGTCTTGAAAAAGAAGACATCCCACCCCCTGATGAGTGCCATTTATGGTTTAGCTGTGGTTTAATCACAATGACCGCATTCACACAACATGCTAAACAAAACAAAGCAAGCCACATTATGAATAGTGTGGCATGTGCAACTAGCATTGTATCAGGAAGATGAACGCATTGACCTTGGGAATGACCCTAAGTCTTTGAGGATGATAGTTTGGGTTTTTGAGGGGGGGGGCACAGGGCTGGAATTTGCAACCATAATGATGCTTGATCAGTCTCTACTCTCTTATGCAGTCTTCTCCAAGCCAGTGCTCTGTATATATGTTAGGACCGCACATCCTAAAGGCCATGCTGGTTGGAAATCCAGCACATCTACAGATGAAAGATGACATACCTGTAGGCAAACATACCCCTGTCTTAGTCCCAGTTGACTTGTGTTGCTGAAAATAAATTGAGAATGTCACTTTAAAAAGTCCCAGGTGAACCTGTCCTGTTATTCCAAAATCTCAAGACAATTGTGAAAATTAGACAGGAGTTTAGAGAGGCTATTTATGTATATTTATTCTGTCAACTCATTTTCTTGTGCAAGATTACAAAACTCAAGTTGTTGGACCAAGTCATCTTCGTACTGTTCATTAGGAGTTGGAGCAGTTCTCTCACTAACTAGAGATGCCAGGCATTGAACTTTTTCATGGGAAGCATTTGCTCTTCACTAACCATTGGCCCATCATTTTAATCTCTTTTGCAATCTGGCTGGACAGAAATGCGGAATCACAAGTCAGAACTGATTTTGGAGGCGCAAGAAGGCAGAACCCCCCTCGCGTTGGTCCATGTTGTGGAGGAATTTGAGACGTCTCCATGCCTATACCAAGGTAAGAAGTTGCACTTTTGTTTGTGAAACCAGCTAGCATAGCCCATTGATCAGGTGAGGACAGCAGAGGGAAAAAATGGAAATGCATCAATTTACCCACTAGGAGCCCCTTCAAATGACCAGACAGCCTTTAGATGGGCAGAAGGATAGTGGGCCAGAGAGCAATACAAAGTGGGTCATGATATTATGGGCTTTTTTCCCCTCCCTTGAGTCATTTTGGGAGGGACTAGATTTTCTTTGTAGTCCTTTGTTTTTAAACTGTTGCACCTGTTTTTGGATGAGCACCACACTCTTTGCATGTTTCACATTGCAGACTGATGGGAAAATATGGCACCAGTTTTCAGCACCTGTGGTCAGGTTGACTCAGGAGCACCAGAAAGGGGCATGAAAGCCTCATTCAGCTTTGGGCCTTAGGTTGCCCACCTCCCTTATAACGTAGAAGCACCCTTCCCTGCCAGAACTGTGCTCCTTTGGAAGAGTGGTGGGAGACGGCTGGATTTTCCATCTCCTTACCCCAAGAACTCTTTGCTTGAGGAAGGGATATAAAGCAGGAGAAAGACAAAGGTCTGTCTCTCCTCCATAAAGGTATCTGGCATGGCCTTCTATTAACCCAAATGCTTCATCCTCTCTCTCTCAGCCAGTAGACACTCCCAGGGGCCGGGAAAGCTCACCTGGGGACAGAGGGGTCTGTTTTCCACCAACGTTAGAGAAGCCTGGAAATCGCCCCTTCCTGCCCGTTGCTTTTTCTCCCCCCCACCCAAAGTTGGAATGAACAGTGCTAAGGAAAAAAATGGGATTACATTATCACAACCATATCAGCAGGGATGGGGGAGTCTTTACCCTGCTCCTCATTGGGAGAGGTTTAAAAAAAAAAAACAAGACTGGGATAGAAATGAAGTGTCTGAGAAGTCTCTAGGACTTTACCTTCATTTTAAACAGATTAGAGTTTCTTATGGTCAGCAGCTCGCATAACAGCTAAGCAGGACTGATCTATCTTGGGCTGAATCTGGCCCTCTTGGGGTCAGTTAACTAGATTGATGAACCATTTTCTGGAGTCCCCCCTCCCCCCTTCCATACATTAGCTCAGCTAACAGTGTCAGGTGAATCAATGGAGTGCAGCCTTGTCCATCCTATTGCTTTCCATGGGAATCAGGAATACAATCCCCAGAATTCATGTTCCCACTTCACATGGTTAGTATTTTTAATAAATGCTGTTATTGCTAGTGCTGTATTGTTCAGCATTTTTTTAAAAACTTCGTAGCTAGAAGAAATCATTGATAATTTATAGCAGGATCTGCCCAGGTTTGCCTTGGAGAATTTTTAAAAATTTAATGTTATTTATTTGATTTACATGGCCACTCTTCTCTTCAGAATTAACACTCAAACTGTCATTTCAAGAGCAGGTTTCCAATTAATCTTATACAGGAAAAGGAGTGAGTAGTTTAAGTTAGGACGGAGTTTTACATGCTACACAAAAATTAGAGGGAAAGTTGACAAAAACAACTTCTTCCCTCCACTTCTACATCCAGTGTATATTTTCTTTCATCTTTACAATCCAGCAGTTCTCTAAATCAGAAGTAGGGGATTTGGAGTCCTCCAAACACTTCTGAATTGCAGTTCCAAGCAGCATCGACCAGCATGATGAGCAATGTTGCAAGTTGTTCATCAGTTTTGGAGAGCCACACATTCCCCACCTCTGATACAAACCTTCTGTTTTGTGGATGGTCATTCTGCAAACCTTGGATAAAACAGTTCATGACCTCTAAACTTCCCCTGCTGTGTCCGCTCTTTTTGCATACAGGTAGTCCTTGTTTAGCAACCCCAATTGGGACCGGCAACTCAGTCATTTAGTGAAGTGCTCGCTAAGTAAAACTTCAGCTGTGCTTACAATCTTACTTCAGCTTTTCTCTGCTTTACAGGCCTGTGAAGGTCATAAATGTGAGGACTGGTTGCAGTTACTTTTTCATCACTGTCATAACTGTGAGCGGTTGCTAAACAAGGCAGTCCTTGTTTAGCGGCTGCCTGTATTTGATGCTAGTTTCCCCCAACCAGGTGCCCTCCAGATAATAGTGAACCAATTCCCATAATTCCCTAGCCAGCATGGAAATGGCAGTCCTATATTTCTGAAGAGCACCAAGTTAGTCAAGACTAATTTAGGCTAAAGGCTTAACTCTAAGTGTGCTCATTTTCAAAACTGACCATGACTCCATCTCTGGTTATCCAAGCAGGTGATGAGGCAGCACAGACAAAAGAGCCAGAAAACGTTATGCCCCTGGCGAGGCTGCAGTATAATTTTTCCCGAGAAGCTAATCTACCAACAAGGAGCAGCGAGTTCTTCCTGACGGGTAGAAATGCCAGCCTGTTTCCTGAGCTGCCCAGAGGCCACCCAAATGCAGAAGGGCCCCTTAAAGATTTCAGCACAGCAATTCCGCCCCAGGGGGGGTCTTTGCCTGCCAGAGTCCCCTGTGCTGCGCTCCAGCCACATGGCAGCGGGGTTATTCCCCCAGGGCGTGAGCAGAATGAACCTCAAGATGCTGTCCGATTCAGTGCAGTTGCAGGAGACAGTTCCCCAACGGAAGGGCGTCCCAGTGAGAGGTCACACCTGGAGAAGAAAAGCCACCCCAGGACCAATGCTGAGGCAGATGTTAACAAGCTGCCAACTTCTGAGGCTCATGAAGAAAGATGCGCTGGAGAGGTCCCCTGTACGGGCTCCAATTCTGCAGTGAAATTTCTCAACCCCATCCCTGCCACCCATCAGCAGGTCTCCCCTAAAGACCTCCCCACCTTCAGATGTCCCACTTGTAGCCACCCTTTTAAGTGCAGCATTGCCAGTCTTGGGGGAAAAGAAGTAAATGCAACAGGCAAGTGGGAGAGGCCCTTCAGTCCCCTTAGCCTCAACCCCGTTTCTGAAGAAAAGGCCTGCAAAGTGGAGAAGCCCTTTAAATGCCCTGATTGTGGGAAAGGCTTCCTCCACCGATCCAGCATCCCCCGGCATCAGAGGCTCCACAAGAAAGAAAACTCGTCTCCCAAAGCTGGGCAGCCCATGCCCTACCACTGTTCCAACTGCGGCACCACGTTTGCTGTGAAGTCAGCAGCCATCAAACACCGGAAGCTGCACGAGGCGGAGAGGCTGTTCAAGTGCCTCTCCTGCGATAAAAGCTACAGCCAGAAAAGCCATCTGAAGAGGCATGAGCAGCAGAAGCACCAGGCGGCCCACCCAACAGGACAGCTTTGACCAAAGGCAAGGGCGGTCTCCTGTAGTCCTCCCAGGGTAGTCTCGCTCTGGGGCTCCTAGGAACTGCTGGGAGAAATTTCCTTCTCTTCCCCTCCTGATCAAAATTCACCTGAAGAGCATGGGGGCTTTTCCCAAACCAGGACACCGATGTGCCTGGTCACCATCCTTACTGTCATGGCCAGCCAGCAGGTCATTTCTGATTTGACCACATCATGGTCAAATGCCAGACTGCCTTAATCTGCGAACTTCCCATCACTCTTCCTTTTCGGCTGTCTTCGTTCTTTGTTAGCATGGAAGCTACATGTGCAGAATGATGAGAATTGCATTCCGACAAAACGTTGAAAGAACACGGTCCATCAGTTATTTACATTAACCCTAAGAACAATGCCCAATTATACATTTATGTTAGTATCTTCATGGTTATGCTACTGCAAAGGAGGTGGTCTCTTGGCTGTATAATTGTTTTTGCTTTCACCACCATGGCTGATAGGGAGTTTTACTCCAAACCAAATGCCCCCCACAGTTCAATCCCCCACGTGTTTATTCAAAAGTAAGCCACGCAGTCAAGGCCCACAGAGGCCTCTCTTTCCAGAGACAGCATGCGTTGAATGCTAATTGCAACAAGAACTAACGGCAGGAGAAAATGTCCTGGATGAACTTTTGATCAGATCCAGCAAAGTAGTTCTGTGTTCTTCGGCCATCTTGTGTGGCTCTGCTTTGAAATAAGTGGACCTAGAATTGTTATTTTAAGGAAACCTGTATTTGGCATAGAGTTGTGAGCTTGAATTGAGCTGTTGAAAAGCAGCTTTGGTGAATTTGTTTGCTTTGCTAATAATCACAACATGTTCTTCACTGGCAGGGAATCTGGTGGCATTTTGTTGAGCAGAGCTCGTTCATCACTGTGAAGCTGTAGGAACCTGGGCTTGCTTGATCTCTGCTTGAGGGCTCATGGGAGCTCTGGACTGCCCCAAGACAATACAGTACGGGGATCGGGAATGCACGGCCTTGCATCTGATCTTTAACAGGTGCTTTTCCCCTTCTGCCCTTGTCTGGAAGGACACTGCCCAGTCCTTTCACACACAATTCCATGCCTCTGCCATGTGACCAGAAGTCCTAGCCATACTGAAACCAGCAGATATGACACCCTAATAAGTTATGAACACTGATCATGTCATCTGTACCCTCTCAAGTGGAAGACACAGAACTATTACATGCCCCTGGGCAAAGAAGGCATCTCCACAGTAGAAGTAGAGCCACAGGTGCCCGCATTTAGGGATTGTCCAGTTGCTTGGATGCAGTGCTATTTACTCAGGGCTGCCTTTGAACTGGACTCAGAGGCTTTAAGTGGGGCAGAAAATGTCTGCTGAAAGTTCGCCCCAAGTTTGAAAGTGTTTTGGTGGCTGCCTACTCAATTTCAAGGTGCTAGTTCTCTCAAGTGCTTCATTTATTTGGACTTTAAAAAGTGCCTTGTCTAGCCAGGTTTTAATGTCTTCTGCAAAATCCTTTTCCAGGTGTCTTGTTTGCAGGATAGATGCCATGTAACAATAGACTTTCTTTGCAATTCTTGGGCTTCCTTCCAATGAGATTTGTCTGATCTCTACATTGCAAGCTTTTTAACCCCAGGAAGATGTGTTCTTATTCATGCAGACTTTTTAATGTGTTGCCAACATTTTTATTGTTAAAGTAGACCCTACACATGGTGCACATTTCATTTTTATACAAATTAGAAGTCTAGAAAGGCTATCATAACTATAAGAGTACTTTAGACTTATCTTGGGCAAGTAATGGCTTGGGTGTCTGTGTATTGTAATAATGGTTTGGGCGGTGGATTGTCAAAATCCCATCTCTACCTGGCCTGCCTCACAGGATTATTGTGAAACGTGCATCATCTCTAGATCTGGAGGAAGGAGGTGGAACTCTTTAGGACAAACTGAAGTTAGGAATGGTAACCACCTTGCCTGATGTGGCGGTCCTAAACACACCTCGGTGTGACTGCAGAAGTCCTTATAATGCGGTCCTTAACTACCCTGTCTGATGCACGTGGAGGCGATATGCCTGTTGTTACCGTCCATGATGCTAACTAGGTTTCCTCTCCCGTCTATTCTGGGGGGCCTTGTAAGAAGTTCCTTGAAGGAAAAACAGTCAATAACGTGCTCAAGCAGTCGGGAGCTGCGCGTCTGCAGCCAAGCCTCTGGGCGCTGCCCCGGGAGCGAGACTTGGCGTAAAGCGTGCGGGAGGCTTTCCGCCGAAAAGCGTCCTCCTCCTCCTCCCCCGGCCCGGCTCAGGCCGTGCTCCGCTGCCACCAGAGGGCTCCGGCGACTTCCACCGAGCGAGGGGCTGCGCTTTCTCCTCGTCTCTCTCCGCCCTGCGTCGGCCGGGATGAGTTTCCTGTCTCAGGCGCTTGCTGCATCCGGATCAGCGGGAGTCAGCTCGCCTGGAGAGCCGCGGCGGCAGCTGCGCCTCCCTCCCGACCCGCGGCCGGCACCGCGCGGCGCCGGCGACCAGCGGAGCGATCTCGGCCCTCCAGCCTCCGCTCGCTGCTCTCTCTCTGTCTCTCTCTCTCTCTCTGCTGGACCGAGGTGGGAACTCCTCTCCGGCCAAAACGATCAACAGGGGCTACGCCCAGGCTCTGCGGCCATTCAGCCGCCTCCGTC